GAAATTTTATAAAATACGACCCTTTACTCCCCCTATCGTGCAGCACCGTTCTCCGTCCCCCAACTGAAACGGGAGAATCTCAAGAAGTGAGCGAAGAGAAAATATATCTTACAAAAGCAAACACGTTCTATCCGCCCCCTCTCTTCAGCGACCGAATACGACCCCCTCGCTGAGATCCACAATGTACGACGTGCTTTGGTACCCATCGGGCCACTATACATACTGCACAAGATAGTTTGAAACCTCTACCGTTTTCCAAATTCACACACTTCCGAAATTAACGCGGGGTTTTCTTAATGAGCCATATACAACCCCCCCCCGGTCACTTGCATACGATCCCTCCGTCAAAGGTTCCTCGGCCAAGCGTAGTATTCTAGTAATTCTGTTGGTTCTAAGGTCATTCATCAAAGCTTTCTGTGATCCTTTTCTGATTTTCTTTGCTCGCTGTTAGAGTGCCAATAATGAATTATTCGGCTAGGTGGGGGCATCCTATGATACTCGATCGAGCTTATACGAGCCAGAGAACCTGTTAACTGCTGGAGTGAATAGCTTACCCGCACCATTACTTCAGCTTCACAAGACTTTATAGGACCTGTTTACTTAACATGAACTAACAGAAGGAACTAACGAATCGGCGAAATGCCCCCTCCAAGTCGGACTGCGTCATTCAATTAGTGAATTATTCTGGGCTAAGCACCCTTTGAAAATCATTTAGCACTTTGGACGAACCGAGAGGTCGAAGCTGTTCCGTTTGACTGATGTGAACTGGCTCAGTATCCGGCCCACCTGATGACATAGCGGTGGCAGGCAATTCAGACGGAAGCGGCCCAGGATCGATAGGCCACTATACCTTGGCCGTCACACGACGACAACCACGACGAGTAAACCACAAAACACCCGTCGGAATCATTATGAAATTGGCTTATCCACCCACCCGCGCGTCGACTTACTATTATTAGTTGACGGAGTTGTTCTCATCTATCCTGTCTTACGAGCGCGATGGCTCTTGCTCTTCCATCTCGCACTCCCCCTCTAGTTGTCGAGCGCTAGCGCATGTTACAAGGCTCTCTGGAGACATGGCCGTGACTGACATATCTATATTGAGTTGAGAATCCATTGCTATCTATCATCTCTGCCAGTTGGTTGCCTCCTTTTATGGACATCGTTTGCGAGTACAACTTCACTTCTTTGCCCGCTTCTCTGTAGAATGGCTGCAAGTGCACTTTTCCCCCTGTATTGCCCCTTTTTGTGCGCGCCAAGGGGTAAACGTCGGGACCAATCAACTTGAATTTCATTGAACATCGTACTTTATATTGGGTAAACATGACCAAACGGTGGGGTGACTCGATTTTCTCGCCTCCAGGCGCTGACGACCGACGAAGGCGGAGTCACCCCCCGAGAGACATTAATTACTCGCGCATTCCTTTCGGACTATTGACATTCTGCAATCGCGTCTATTTCACCTCTGAAAGGCTTCAAGGGGACAATTTTGCACTTGTTCCCATTATGGAAGGCACTTAGCCAAGTCCCAGCGATCCATATCCCTTTCAACCCATGAAAAACCCCCCTACTACCCCAAAATATACCCATCCTGATCGCGCCTTTTCGGGCAAATGGCGCTGGTTTTTCGACTCCTCCGACTACTTCAAAGAGTTGGCGATGAGCCATTTATCAGCTCCACCCGCTCCGAAAAACCGTTTCTTGCTCCCAGTCGGTTCTTTTAGTGGTATCGCTTCTGAAGTGGTTACTTGGCTTTTTGTAGGAGTCCTAAATAGAATAGCACCCATGGGTGCTGTCCCCTGGGATATCCTTTATAGGGCAAGCTTGCTAAGTTTGCATTCTGAGAACTCCTCCTGCAAAACTGAAACTACCGTAATGCAGAACGCCCTTTTGCACAAACAAATCACTTAATCTGCTCTGGAGCTCCTTTTCTTTCGGATTTGGACCACTTTTACACTTCTCTCACCTCTTTTACACCGCTTCCAGCTTTGCTCAAAAAGTCTTTCAAATGTACTGACGGGGCAGGAGGATTACACTTCTGCTGAGCTTAGGTCTTACTACTCGTACAGAACGGAAGTTGGGTTACCCCTTTAATTTCTCCGCCCCCTCACGCCCGTCAAAATTTCTTATTTAATCAATATTTTTTTTGACTTTCACCTTCTGATTTCTGAGAAAACGTAACTGTAGTCATCATCCGCATAGACTCTTGGTCGCTTCAGATGACGGGGCGTGTCAGTAGGGCTGGGCTTGGCGCGCCGCCAGCTTGTTTCTCATCGCTTGTTGAAAGCGGGTAAGCAACGACAATCGGTGAAAAACGACTGATACGAGCGTTGTGATGCGCTCTTGCCACTTGCTCGCTTCAAAAACTGGTGAAGAACAGGTTTGGCGCTGCGCCAAATCCATTGCGCCTGACACGTCCCATCATCCGCAGCGCCTGTCTGAGAGCTCGATGACGGGCTTGCGAAGGCTGTACGTCTTGTCAGCTATTGTCTGTAGAGTCATGTGGAAGCGAAAAGCTGGGCTACCTCGTGTTGCTCTTTACCGCCGCCTGATAAGCGTCGGAATTTTTTGTTCGATTTTTTTACCTGACTCGATGATTTTTCTATGCGCTCTCTGAATCGCTGGAAAAACTTCTGGGAAAGGGGATTTTTGAACGCAACTGAGCTCTGATTTTCCTTCGCCTGCGTCGTTCTCTATTTGATTTCGTGAAAAACCCCCTTGCTGAACTTAGCTCTGACGCTATTTTTCCGTTGCAGGGTTACCCAACCCGTGAAGGGTTCACTCACCTCCCGAAATGGACTACATTTCGAGTTTTGATATTCGTCTCGCTAAAGAGATCTACTATGCTGGTGAACGTATTGGTGGAAGTGTACTGCTGGAAAATACCGAGAACATCAAGATCAAAGGTCTGTTTGCTCTGGTGGGGATTTTTTCGGCATCCGATGCAGCTTGTAAGAGGCTCATTTCAGCGTCTATTCATGCTTCTAATCGTTTTCCTTTCGCCGCCGTATGCCCTTAACGCTCGCGGATTCGATCGCAGCTCAATTTCAGGGGTTCGTGTCCTTCTTCGGGGTAAAGTTCATGCCACGTTGAAAGTCGTGAAATCTGGTGAACGGCGAACAATCAAGGACGATCAGTACGTGCTGGACGAAAAATTGCTCGTCTGGGGAAAAGGTATCCATTTTTGAAATAGCCTCTATATTTTCAGGCAGAATAAGTGATGATAAGTAGTGATGATCATTGATTTCCTCCAATTGTTACCGTTTCCTCTTTGTTTGGACGTACTTCGCAATCACAATCCATACCCGAGATGTGGAGGGCGTGGCTGCGTACCTCATTTGAACATGATGATGCGTTCTCGGTGAAGCATTTTAATCTGAGACTGTTGTCACCCTATACCGTGCTGGGCAGGGACATGGTAATAACAAAGCGGCTATATTCCACCAGAAGCGCATCCGCCGCGATGTTTCAATAAAAGACCAGGCCACGCCCACCTCAACTCTCGGATATGGAGTGTACTTATTTACTTCAATTACTTGATTTAACTATAAATCGATTTTCATCGACATTCATGAACTCCTGTTGATTGTGACCACGGCATGTCTTGCCATTGGAAAAAATCTGCGGAAGCGCTACCCCCCCCCCCACTTTCACTCTTCTGGTGCGACGCCCTCCCTCTCCATACTACCTATCAACTTCTTAAATTGTCCCAGCTTCCTGTCACTTTCCCGGGAATTTTCCGGAAGTCACTCGCTCCCTGAACAAAATGTCGTCGACAGGGCACATCACTAGTTGGGGATTTAAGTCCGTTAAGTTACCTACCAATTTTTTTGATTTCCACAACTCCTACCAGTTTTTCCCCGTAATTTCCCGGAAACTTCCCTACTTTTATCCAAAAATTTTGCTATCGGGCGGGGAGGGGGAACACATGGTACACATATGAAACAGGAAAAACCCCCAAAT